ACTACACATAAATTATCTTCAACCTGCTTTCTTAAAATAACATTTGTTTGCTACCAGCAGAGTAGCACTGTAGACTGTTTCCAAATGCGAATCCCACGGTACTGCATTTTTGCTGTATAATAGGTTTTTTATTTAAATACAAGATCAGAAGAAAGAGACCACTGCTGAGGAGGTTTATTGGGCGCTTTGCTTAGCCTTTGGCGAACCTTATCAGCTAAACAGTCTAGATCTCCTCAACAGAGATATGCTCTACGACAACAGCAATGAAAACACTCTCTACGAAACACACAAACTCAACAGTGCTATGAAACACCCTCTAGTCTTTAAGATGCATAGATAGACATCTGCAACTGGGTAGTCAACATCCCAAATCAGTGACAGTGTGTCCTGCTGTGTGATGTATATATAGTTTATCCAAAACCTTCTTTTAGAAAACAACATTTCTTATTCTTTTCTAATTTTATACATGCAGTACTTATGACTTTATATTAACTGAGAGACTGCAACATCTCCAATATCTATACTTTTAAAGAACAATTTAAACTAGAAAGCAAAAAGTGATTGAAATGCTCAAATGTTCACAAGCTTCCTAAAATAGATAGTTTCCCTATTAAATTTAATGTATATATAATTGGTAAGATTTGTAATGTTTTTGAAAGAACTCTCTTATGTTTACCTAAGGCTGCATTTATTTAATTAAAACACAGTAAAAACAATAACATTATGAAATATTATTACAACTTCAAATAACTCTTTTTATAATTTAATATATTTTAAAATGTAATTGATATTTGTGATGACAAAGCTGAATTTTCAGCAGCCATTACTCCAGTCTTCAGTGTCACATGATCCTCCAGAAATATTTCTTATTATTGTCAATGCTGAAAACAGTTCTGTTTCATATTTTTGTGGAAACTGTCATGTTTTTTTTTTTCCAGGATTCTTTGACAAACAGAAAATTCAAACGAACTTAACTTTTTCTCTTTAATCATTCTCAAATCATGTTATTCATCATACAAAAAATGCTATTGAACTGCAATTAATTCAATAGCAATGAAAATCATGCTATTCATCATGCAAAAAATGCTATTAAACTGCAATTAATTCAATAGCAATGAATGCTATTAAAAATGCAATTAATTGGTCAATTGTTTAGTTATGCTGATAATATAACAGGTAACAAAACAATAATGAAAGCATTTTCACTAACATCTCAGATTTTTAAGTTGTGCTGTATATTCTTTGTGGTATCACTGCACATTGATTGAAGGTCTGTTTTTTCTTTCTATCTGGTTTTTGACAGCTTCTGTGAATCTTTCTGTTGGAGGCATGCAATTAGTGAGTTCACACGAATCCTGACGTATGCAGAGCAGAAATGGTAGTGACAGTATGTTAACTTGTCAGAGGCACAGAGTCTTCCTTCTTGGAGGCATGCAATTAGAGAGTTCACACGAGTCCTGACGAATGCAGAGCAGAAATGGTAGTGACAGTATGTTAACTTGTAAGAGGCACAGAGTCTTCTGTGACTGCTGCGTGTGAATGTGGCGCTGGGAGCGGCGCTCTCATGTGGGTGGTGTAGCTGGCAGATGCTACTATTTGTCACACAAGCATTTTCAGCAACACACATAAACAAAAACGCTCTCTTTTAACACACCCTCTGCACCTGGGAATCAAGCCCTGAGTGAAGACTGTGTGAATCCTGTCACAAAGTCCAAATCAAAGCTTGAGTAAAGGGAAACTCGGTTTTCCCATAACCCTTAACGCTTTTGGTGGTCTACACTTCTGTGGTCTGAACAAAGAGAATAACTCACCACAACTAATTTGAAATTGTGAGATTATGTGAACTGCTCCACGTTCCCTACCTTTGAGATCTGGGAACATATTCCTCTGGGAGAACCCAAACTGGGAGTGTCCACGGTGGCAAAGTCATCCAGTGGGCGTACCGTCACCCTGTCGGCAGGCGTGTGGGGCCTGCGTGGGGACAAGGACCTGGAGGGGTGGCCGGGTGGGGGTATGTCACATGGTGATGGGGGCACAGATATGGATCGTGGCATTTCCAGAGTAACTCTGAAGGCAGACGTGTCCATGTAGTCAGGCCCGGTGTAGATTGGTGCAGTGGGGCTTCCATGGCGGAACTGTTGGCGCTGCTGCCACTCATACAGCTGCCACACCATGCCCTCTTTAGTGGCCAAGCGCTCGTCAGTGGACATACAGAAGTGACTAAGACGGTCATGGGCATACTTATAGTCACTAGGCAGGTTACGGGACACTGGTGGGGAACTGCCTCCGGAGTGGTGGCGAGTGGTCTTTGGCAACGACTGGTACGTCTCCATCATGACGGACTTAGGCTGGAGAGGTGGTGTCCGTCTGGGTAGGGTGTACTCAGCAGTGGGATGGCTGTTATTTTGTAAAAAGTTATTTTACTGTTAATATTCTGTCCTTCTCACTTCTCAATTCTTTTTATTCTGAGCTGAGCTGCAAATGTATTATTGTTATTATTATTATTAATCCCAAACAACAATAATAACTAATATATTA